TCCTCACGCCCAGGCTACACCTTGTTCCCAGACCTGGCTGCTCCGAGCGGACCCCGGGGGCTTGGGAAAGCCTCGAATGCCTCCCATGCTCCCACTCAGAGTCCACAGGACCAGACCTTGAGCTGAGGTTTTGGACAAGTTCTAGTGGGGATTCTTAGCTGTCCACCCTGGTATTTGGGATCTGCCGGTGCACAGGGTAAGGGCCAGGCTGTGCTGTGACATTCTGGGTCTCTGGGGCTTCTGGCCCTTTTTCATTGCCCCCGCCCCGCCCTTTCTGTGGATCTCCCCCCCACCAACATCCCCAGGCACCTTTGCGGAAGGGGTCCTCCTCCTGTTGTTTCTCTTTGACCTCTCTTCCCAAGTGTCTGTCAGTAGTTTCCTTTCATTGATATGGACAATGCCACCTCCTCCCTGAAGCTGTCTCTGATTGCTCCCCCACAGCCGTGAAAGGATAGTTTCCTTAAATGAGCATTTTAAATTCCTCAGGGCTGTGCTCTCTGACTTCCGGCGAGGAGGAGTCCTTTTACAAGATAGATTTTCCCTTCATAGTAATTCAGCTTTTGGAAAAACAGGTTTATAATTAGGAGCCGTGGGCATAGTTCTCTGTCCTGAACTTATTAATCAGTATTTATCGAGAAAACAGTTTCAGAGTTTGTACAAGTTTTCTCCAGGTGCAGGGTTTAAATAAACTTCTTTAATTCTTTAACTTTAACTTTTATTGTTACTTTTTCTATCACTTGGGATGTAGTTTCTATGCTTATTGTAGAAAACTAGGAAATACAAGGAAATGTAAAGGAAAAAAGCCACCCATGTCTTTCCTGCTGTGGCGCAGCGGACAGGCGGTGCACGCCCTCCCGGTCTGCATGCCAGACAGTCGAATAGTTAAGTGTGCTCAGAATTGGGACCAAACGCTCCCGGCAGGGCAGTCTTGTGGTTCCAGAAGGGCATTGTTTCAGCTCCTCTTTGAGTAGAACTTGGAAGCTTTTCTAGATAAATCCTGAACTCCTCTACTTCACGTTATTTTTAAAAAATATACATATTTTTAAAGATTTTATTTACTTATTTGACAGAGAGGCAGAGAGCTCGAGCACAAGCAGGGGGAGTGGCAGGCAAAGGAAGAAGGAGACGCAGCCTCCCCACTGAGCAGGGAGTCCCATGCGGGACTCGATCCCAGGACTCCGGGATCGTGACCTGAGTGGAAGGCAGACACTTATTGGGCTGAGCCCCCCAGGTGCCCCCAGTTCATGTTACTGATTGACGATGGATTCATGCCTTTATCAGGCATTTACCTTATGCAAGCACTGGGCATGGAGGCAACTGGACTTTTACCAATTATTTAAAAGATAATTAAAAAAAAAAAACCACTTGTAGTGTTTGAGAATGTGTTGTTGGATGCACGGGGCACAACGCTCTAGCATGAGAGTGTACAGTGAAACAGAAGTCTTCTCACCCCACCCCCCTGCTGCCCTTGCCCTTGACCAGAGGCCACCCACCACCATTTTCTTTCACTCGTTCTGGTGGTACTTTCAGATTCCTTCTGTGTGTGTGTGTGCAAGCCTGAGTTCTCGTGCCGGTTGATCTGAGCCCAGGCCGTGGCAGGCGGCGCACAGAGCTTTGCACCTCGCGTTTTCACATGGGGGTTGTCTTAGTGATGAAGCCTTCTGGGCGCGTGGGGGGCTTCCTCGTTCTTTTTATTACTGCCCAGTATTTCTCTGGCCCCTCTTGGGGTCTTTAAGTTGCTGCCAGTCTTTTGCTGTCACAGTTAACAGCCTGAAACACCGCACATGTGAGGATGTCTGTGGGGTGGGCTGGCGGCGCTGGGGTTTTCAGGAGGAACTTTTCATCACTTGCAGCCAGTTGTCTGGCTTATCGTCTCCTCCCTCCTCCCCCTTGGTGTCAGAAACCAATTTCTGGACTTTGGCAATTTCAGGAGCCTGCTGCTTGGGAAGTGAGGGTTGTTGGCCTCTTGGTCCCACAGGAGTTTCAGAGGAAGGAATGAGACCCCGGCCTGTTTACATTCTCCTTTGCTCCGTGGGCTGCAGTGGTGTGCATGGGGTCCCTCCACCGTGGGGCGTGTGGCTTCCTGTCTGCCTCCCTTCCTGCCTCCCCCCCTTACACTGAGACCCTAGGGTGCAGAGACCCGGCCAGTCATCCTCCGTGCCTCCCCTGCCAGCTCTGCTGTGCCTGCTGCTTACCACCTGGGCGTGGGGCGGCCCCACAGCGCAGCCGGCACCCACACTTCCTGAGCTCTCCCAGCCTCTGCTTGCTCATCCAAGTAACGGGTCATCACTGTCCCTCCCTGCTGGGGCTGTGGAAGGCGTCAGCAGGCAGCGAGCACCCAGTGCACCTTAGCCGCCCTGACTGATGGTGTCTCCCGTGTGGCCTGCTGTGGGCTGGCCACACGGGAGACACCATGTGTCCCTGTGGCCAGCCACAATAGGATCTGGCCAGTCGAGCCAGATCCTATTCTTGGAGCTCTGAGCTACAGAGGAGCTGGGCTGGCTCCTGGGACCTCAGTCCCACTTAAGATTTTCCGCCTGCCTGTGCAGAAGATGACTTCTTGTTGTTTCTTTTTTTTTTTTTTTTAAGATTTTATTTATTTATTTGACAGAGAGAGATCACAAGTAGACAGAGAGGCAGGCAGAAAGAGGGAGGGAAGCAGGCTCCCCGCCGAGCAGAGAGCCCGACGCGGGACTCGATCCCAGGACCCCGAGACCATGATCCGAGCCGAAGGCAGCGGCCCAACCCACTGAGCCACCCAGGCGCCCTCTTGTTGTTTCTTTTATGTTACGGTTCTTTTGTGTTTCCAGAGTTGGAGTCCTGTTTGATTTTAGGACTGGGGGCGGGTGAGCTGACTGGGACGGAGTCAGATGAGGGCGGGTTGGAAGTGACCGCAGTCAGCCTCGGAAGGAGATGAGAACCACGCCGGGATAATCGGGATGCCATGAGGATTAACTCAAAGGGAAAACCCAGGGCCTGGCAGCAGCCCAGCACAGGCCCTTTCCGACTGGTTCAGGTCACGTATGCACGCGCCTGCTGTCCCCTTCGGTGCCATCTGTCCTTTCCGTGGTGTGGCCCCAAGTGTTATCCTTAGGGACTTCCCAAGGAGCTGTTCCCTCAGCTGTTGGAGAGTTTTGTCCTGGATTGGGGCCAGGGGCTAAGTGAGGAGTCCCTCTGAGCCCAGTCTGGCTGGTCCCAGTCACGAGTCAAGTGGCCGTGGACTGGTCACTGTCACCGATGCTCTGGTGGAGAAGGACAGTCTGGGAGTGAGACTGAGGCTCTGAGGGGTTCCCGCTGAGCGTGCCGGTGGCCCAGGGGTTGCTCTGAGCCCAGTCTCTCCCCTCATGACGTCATGGCAGCCAGTGGGTGTTGGCTGTCATTCGTTCTGGAACCGCGGAGAAGCTGAGTGATGGTGGGGACCCCGGAAAGCATCAGCCACTGGTTTTCAGGTTGGGTTCCTCGGGGCCCGGCGGCATGTCAAGGTGTCGGGTTGAGGGACGACTGGCTTGGCGTATCCCGCAGCGCCAACCAGTCTGCCATCTGTCTTGCTGATTCAGGTAGCGGCTTCCCTTCAAGGTTCCGCCGGTTCCCAGGAGGTGCTGGGAAACACTCGGGTGAGCCAACCAACAAACGCAGGGTTGGTAGGCATCTCCTCCGCAGTATCATGTGAGGGGATGGTGACAGTGCCCGGGGGCCTTGGTGCCCTCCTCCTCCCCTAGACCGTGAACCCCTCCAGGGCCTAAGCGTTTGGTGTGGCCCCTGAGTGCGGGGCCAGGCTGCACACGGGAACCTGAGCTGAGTGTTTAGGGAGTGCCTGGGTGCCAGGCGGGCACCCTCAGTAGGCACACGGTACACACAGCTGTTGGACCTGCCATCGTCCCTGCTCTGATTTCCAGCCTTGTCGGGTCACAGCCTCCTCTGAGCACCCTGGCCTTTCTTCCCAGGAAAGTGCACATGGGCATGGCCATGTGCTGTTGGCATTGCCTACAGACCCCTGTTCCTGCCGCTGTGCCCTGCCCCCAGAGACAGCCCATCAGGACTCTGGAATGAAGGGCCAGGATGATGGTGGTCCCAGGTTCTTGGGACTGTTCTGGCTCTGAATAGGTGGGTTGGGTGAGCGTGTCATGGGTCGGGGGAAAGCTTCCTGGGAGAGCGTCTGTCTGAGCCATATCTGAAAGGCTGGGATGGAAAATATGGACCAAGGCTTGGAGAAGTGACACAGCCCATGTGCCCAGATGCTTGAGGCGGGGGAGGTAAAGGTGGGTGAGTTGCAGGGGCCCTTTGTGCATCCGTCGGAGAACTGGACCCTGTCTGGAGTTGGCTGGGGTGGCCATGAGATTGTGGGTGGGGGTGGAGGAGGCACGGTCCAGGTTGGCAGCAACATTGGTGAGGCCCGTGGTGGTTGAACCAGGCTCAAAGGACGCATAGAGTGTCAGTAGGGGCTAGAGATGGCTGGTGTTGTGTTAACTAAGCCGAGGAGGGTTGAAGGGTTTTGGGACCTCCTGCAGCATGGGAGAGCGGATGGACTGAGGCAGACCTGGGAGGCCGGGCCAGGCCGTTAGACCAGATATCAGAGGAAACGGGGAGCCATGGGAGATGATTGAGGCAAGGAGGGAGGGTCAGACCTTTGGTGGTAAATGCGGTGGCGGGGAGCGTCCTGAGGTGATCCAGGTTGGAGCTGTGCCCCTGAAGGGCTGGCCCTGAGATTGGAGAGGGAGACAGCGGCTGTGAGGAAAACAGGCAAACTTGGGGTCTTTGTAGAACAATAGGAAAGTCCCCCTGGGAGATGACTCTCTCTTTCTGCCAAGAGGTGGTCTTGAGGACTGACTAGGAGCTCACAAACCTTCCCGTTGCTAATGGGTCTGTTCTGGGGACTGTGCTTGAGGGATGCAGCGGTAGGCTGTCCCATCCTCCTGCCTTCAGCTGGTCTTAGTGAATGTTCTGGAAGGATGCTTCCTGCCTGCTTGAGTAACCTTTGTTTTCTTTGTTTCTCTCCACAGGAAGCGAGGGATAGAAGTGGTGCAGGTGAGTACAGACCACGCCCTTGCCATTTTCTCCTGTGGGTGGGCCTTTTAGGGCTCCCCTCTCCACCTCTCCCACAAGCGTCTGGGTGCTTGAACCCCTTCCTGAACTTCTCCCTGTGTGGAGTCTCTGTGATTTCTGCCCCGGCAGGACGTGGGTTGTGGTCGGTGGTCTCTGGGGTTTGTGGAGTTGCAGCTGCTTCATTGGTGGATGGAGCTGGCAGGGGGAGAGGTGCAGCTGTGGGTAGGGATGGGGTAGGCAGGGTGCAGGAGCATGGCCACCCAGCGAGCCTCTGGGGTCCTGTTGCCCCCCACGGTTTGTCTGTGTCTGCACTCCGTCTCTGCCGAGGGAGAGTACAAGCCCCCCACCTCCCCGTGCCCTGGGCCCCTGCCTTGGCTGCTCGGCCCTCCGGGGGTGAGCCCTCTCCTTTCTCGGACCATTCTTGTAAGTGGTATCATCTCTGAGACGATGCTTGCTCCCCTGCCCTTCTCCCCTGCACCCCTAGGTCAGGTGCACCCCCTCCCTGCTGTCAGTGTGATCACATCTGATCTTCCCTGTGGGCCCCTGGCTCCTGGAGAGTGGCCGGAGTCAGCGAGGGGGCTCCTGACCCCCAGGCTGCCTCCCCCGGGGGCAGACTTGGATCGGGGCTCGTTGGCTGGAGAAGGAAGGATGGATGGAGTGTGTGCGCTCTGATAGCAGCCGCGGGAGCCCTGGTGGAGGGCTGCTGAATGAGTTCTTCCTCTGGCTTCCCTCCTTGGAGTGGGTTGAACTTGTGACCTGGAGGCTGAGGTTGGTTTTGGGGGAGGAGGTGGTTTCTGGAAGCCCCTCATGGGCTGTCGATTTTTCATCCAGGCTTATTTTGGCTCTGCAGAGTGGCGTGATCTGCACAGAGGATTTCTGTGGATCTTAATTTCTTAGACCTTAAAAGGGGGAAAGTCAGAATTCAGGATGGGGTAAGACACATGCTTGCGGGGCTGTTTCTGATTGATGGGTAGTGGCAGCCGGGAGGGTTCCAAATCATCCCTGAGGTTAGCTACAGTGCTTGTCAGGGTTCACGCAGAAATTGCTGTGGGGGGCACGTTTTAGAGGAAGTGAATTCATGTGCTCACCAACACTGTTACTTAAAAAGGGAAGAAATGTGCCCTTCCCCCACTACCTGATTCCTGTCCTGGAAGACCCCTGACAAACACGGTGGGATGCTCCTCCCCGTGCCCCTCCCCTCTGCCGCAGGAGGAAGGGGAGGGTAGGGGAGGGCAGAGGGCCCTGGAGTTTCAGGATGGGAGGACAACCTGGGGGGATAGCGTGTTTGCTTTCCGTGGCTTCTTGGGAAGATTTAGACTAAAACCTTTAATCCACTTAGTCTGGGGTGGAACCAGAGACTTGGAGCCATTGTTCTAGAATTTACCGGGCAGAAGAAGAGTTGCAAGATCTTCCTTGATGTGTCTGTTGTTCACTTTGGTGATGACTTCGGGGAGGAAGTGGTGGCTGGGGACCAGAGAGAACCCAAAGTGGATGCTTTCCACACCCGTATCTAAAAATAAAACCCCTGTGATGTATCTCTCTGCACCTCCTCCTGGCGTCCCCCAGTGTTTGGAGAACTCGGAATTTCAAGATGCAGAGAAGGACTCTTTGCAAAATTTGGAAGCTGAGACTAGTTGGCTGGTTTCTTCAGAAGCAGCCAGGCCTCTGTGGGCCAAGTGCCCGGGCTGGGCTGGTGGGCCCCTGGATGCCGGGAATGGGTGCTTGTCACACCCGAGGGGTCTGTGACTGAAGTGGCGGGAAGTGAGCATGCTGTCAGCCAGCACCCGGGGTTTCTTGTTTTCTTGTGTCCGTTGCCTCAGTGGCAATGTCCCTTTTTGTGAGCCACTCAGTGACAGGAGTAGTGTTTTCATACCCATTTTAGAGTTGAGGAAATGGAGGCTCAGGATGTCTCTTGGGGAACTTGGCTGGTGGTGGTGGTCTTGGAGTTTGTCTGTGGGCCGGCGTGTCTCCCGAGCCCATGGTTTTTCTGCTAACCGGGGCTCCTTTGCATGTTAGTTTTACTAAATGTTCCATTTACCAAACGTTTCCAGGCCTGTTATTACCTGGGGTTTGGGGACTATTTTTTTTCTTAATATATTATTTGTTTATTTGATAGAGATAGCAAGAGAGAGAACACAAGCAGAGGGGAATGGTAGAGGGAGAAGCAGGCTCCCCGCAGAGCAGGGAGCCCGCTGATTCAGGACTCGATCCCAGGACTCTGGGGTCACGACCTGAGCCAAAGGCAGACGCTTGACAACTGAGCCACCAGGCGTCCCTATATTTTTTCCCAAGAGTTATTATTTATTTATTTAAAGTATTTTGTTTATTTTTTGAGATTGTGAGAGCGCACAAGCTGGAGGAGAGGCAGAGAGAGAGGGAGAAGCAGGCTCCCTGCTGAGCAGGGAGCCTGACATGGGGTTTGATCCCGGGACTCCAGGATCATGATCTGAGCCGAAGGCAGATGCTCAACCGACTGAGCCACCCAGGCACCTCAAGACTTATTTATTTTAGATAGAGCATGTGGTCACAAGAGAGTTGGGGTGTGGATAGGAGGGGCAGAGGGAGAGAAGCTTCAAGCAGACCCCCTGCTGAGCGCAGAGTCCAAGGCAGGGCTTGGTCTCAGGACCCCGAGATCATGACCTGAGCCTAAACCAAAAGTTAGAACTCAGCCAACTGACTCATGCAACCAGGTCCCTTTGGGCTCTGGCTACTATGCATGTATGTATGTATGTATGTCTGTATGTCTGTATTTATTTTTTTAAAAGATTTTATTTATTTATTTGACAGAGAGACAGGGAGATAGGGAACACAAGCAGGGGCAGACGGAAGAGGGAGAAGAAGACTCCCGGCTGAGCAGGGGGCCAAATGTGGAGCTTGATCCCAGGACCCTGGGATCATGACCTGAGCTGAAGGCAGATGCTTAATGACTGAGCCATCCAGGCGCCCCTGGGCCTTGGCTACTATTAAAAAGAATATTGGGGCCCAGGGTCAGGAGCCATGACTGTAAAGTGCTGGTAAGGCCCTGCGGTGTCCTCGCGGGAAGAGAGTTCTCTTCAGTGGTGAGTGGTGGTAGTACCGAGTGAGTGTTGACCTTGACTACGGATGGTGGTATGCCGGACACCAACGCCACTGATTTGCCAGAAGCATCCGTGGGTGAGCGCACATCTCAGAAAGCAAATTGTGCAGCTCCTCAGCTCCTTCATGGGCTCGTGCCCGCGGCCCACGTGCTTGGGAAGGAGCTTGTAAACCCTCCTTCCTTACATCCTTTCCACAGCCCTCCCCCCATCTCTGTGGAGCCAGTGCCCGTAGCAGTGACGGTCAGGATCCCCTGGGCTCATCTTGGTGGTTGTGTGACCGTGGGCCAGTCGCCTAACCCCCCGGAGCCTCAGTCTCCCCATCTGTAAAATGGGGATAATAGTTGTGCCTGTCCCCGGGGATCACGTGAGGCCTAATTGAGTTAATTTGGGTAAAGCAGTGGGCACATGGGAAGCTCGTTCTTTACATTGTCCCCAGCCAATGTGACCCTGGGGCACCAAGGCCGCTGAAGCCTCGAGGCTGCTGGTCCCCGTGATCCCAGGACAGGTGAGGTCTCTCCATTTCTTGTCTTGCGACAGCATTGCAGGAGGATCTGATTTGGTTGTCCACTGATAGAACATTGGAAATGATTTTTGATACCAATGATGGTAATTCTTGGCATGTCATTTTAAAGGAATTCAGAGAACTTGATATGTAAATCTCCTTTCATCTTTTTATTTGCTTGAAGAAGTGGTTTCAGCACTTGCATCTGTAAAAAACTGAAAAATACAATTGACAGTAAGCTCTGCCTTCATCCATGGATACATGAAATACTTCTTAAAAATTCCTGTTCGGGGGCGCCTGGGTGGCTCGGTGGGTTAAGCCTCTGCCTTTGGCTCAGGTCATGGTCTCAGGGTCCTGGGATCGAGCCCCACATCAGGCTTTCTGCTTGGCAGGGAGCCTGCTTCCCTTCCTCTCTCTCTGCTGCTTCTCTGCCCACTTGTGATCTCTGTCAAATAAGTAAATAAAATTAAAAAAAAAAAAATTCCTGTTCGTCTCTCTTCTGAGATGCATTTCTAATAGGGTTTAATGTTTTATGTTTATTCCTTATACAGTTTGTAGTGTTTCCGTCACAGGGATCAATTTTATACTAAGTGTAATTCTAATAATAATTCAGTCCAGAAGAAAATTTCTGACAGCTTGATGGTCACATGAAATTAAAAAATTAAAGCATTTATAGCCTTATTGTTATTATTATTTATTTTGCCTCATAGTGAGATAGACTTCTCAGTAAAAAGCCTTTAAACACGAAATACACTGAGGGCTGTGGGTTGGAAATTGGAATTTGAGGAGGCAAAAGGAACTTTTCTAAATTTCCAAGGGTTTGGGAAGGAGCGGACGCGGTAACTGGAGGGTGGATGTCGGCGGGTCTCAAATTCCATTGGATCCATTTAAAAGAGAAACAATAACAGTTTTATTTTGAAATGTTAATATTTACAATATGTTGGAAATTACATCCTCTACAAGTATTTAAACTTACCATGAGAAATTTTCGATGTCAGCTTGCAAATGTACAAATGGACACATAGTTTTAAACATTTATTCTGGAGGCTTCGAAGTGAAGGCCGTTGCTTTTGAACGTTACCCCACTGGCTTCTCAGAACTGGGCTCTGAGGCAGGTACCAGCTTGGAGGGGGCAGTGGCCTGGCCCCCAGCCCATCCACAGGCCTCCCTCGGCCTGGGCCGCTCAGACTCCACGGCCCGAGCATCCACAGAGACGCAGAAAGGCCTTGGAGGTGGGCCTGTCTGCAGGCCGAGCGGCCTCCCCCAGGCTGGCTCTGTGAGGCCAGGTAGATGTTCTCATAAGGAGGACCTGCCGTTCTCTCTGCTCATGCGGCATGAGAAGCCCCAAGTCCAGGGGGGCCGGAGAGTGGAAGTCATGCCTCGTGTTTCATGTCAGGGCTCAG